TTGAACATCAATTCATTTCGCATGCAGATGTTTTTCAAATGTAAAAGGTTCATTACTCATGAATACATTTTTTTTTTTGTAAATAACCTTTCCCTGTGTGTGTAGTTCAAAATATGATTTCATTACTGAGGTTGATCATAAGTTTGCCGCTGCAAATCAGTTGACTAGTAAGATCTTCAAGATAAAGGAAATAGGTTTGTCATTGTCATACCCTCGAGATGTCTGTGGACACACTTTTCGAACAGAAAGCAATTCTCTACCATACAAATTTGTCTGAGCTGAATGACCCATTCAAAATAGTCTATCGATTTTGGTACCGGAACGATTGAAAACAATGAGAACACATTAAAATAATATGATTTTTTGTAGAAATGGAAGTAAGGTAGAGGACTTTATACACCATTATAGACTCGTGAAGAGGATGGAACTTGTTATACGTTCTTCTTAAGCAAAGAAGTATACGATATTGAGAAAAATGTTATTAGAAGCCTAGCCAATATCAATGTATATTAGAAATTAAATGTAGAAATTGTCTTCGAGATTTCAAACAGTTAATTAGTCATAGCTTATTGTCATTCCATATAAACCAAGATGCAGAAAACTGAAAATAAAAGTAGCTTTCGAAACTGTGCTTTATACTTTAATCAAAAGTTGGTAACCCCACAGACAAAACGTAACCTGAAAAATTTGTGATTTCACTAAGTTACGAGCTAATTTAACTCAAATTATTTTGTTGGATTCCTTGTATGTCATAGGTTCCAATTTTACTTTCGAACAAACAGTATGCCTGTTTCAATGGCTCGACAACTAATTAGTCGGTTAGTCAACATCACCCATCACAGAAAAAACTTTCTTGTTGAATAATTTGCACTTCACTCAAAAGTATATTTTCAGAGCGAAATGTCATTCACTACTAGCGCTGTAGAATCCACAATGTCCGAAAATTCCAAAATAACAGAATGAAAGTGTGAGGTGTGTTCAGATTTCTGATGCGAGTTTTAAAGAAGCTGCCAATCAGTTTATTGTGCCAATTATTATCCAATTCAACACCCCCAATACTTCATGACGAAAGAAGAGTTGAATAAAGTATTGATCCTTGAGAAACACCTATGGTGGTGTTGAAGAATCCATTGATGGAGATCCATCAATAGCCCCTTGTAAGAAACAATATTTGAAAGAGCTGGGAAGCAAGCACTGAACAAAAACCAACGAGCCAGTCATAGAACTGAAGTTGAATCAACATATAAATATCTTGAAAATATCGAGGGTAACAGCTAGAGTAGGTATCTCTGTTTTTTGCATTATGTCAAAGATGAGTATACCATTAAGTTTTTGCGGTTTTATAATCTCCTCAGTAATTTTCATACATTTTACTCATGTGATTTTACCATATGTATCGTGGAACTCATTTATTTCGTTTTAGAAAATACATATCCAAAATATTTTTCACCTTCCAGAATCTTTTCTAGTGTATATTTATTCAGATTTGTAATAACTTTTGAACTCCCAGATTGTGTTTCAAAGGCCAAAAATTAACGGTACTTACAATCTTGTATAATATTCTCGAGAGTTTCGAATTTAGATATTTGATTGAAACTACATATACGTAGATCTAAAAGTGCGTGGCAATATATTATAAATATTAACATTGAGTGTATTGATCATTGATCATAGGGGAGGAAAGATTTTCCCTTATAGGGCCTGGTTGGGGTTACTTTGGCGTTCCCTTTCCTAATGCTCCGATCGAATTCTACTTCGCTGTACCCGTTCCCTTCGAAGGTATATTTTAGGTTTCAGTTCCTCAAGGAGCCTCTCAGATTCCCAAATGCGTCAGGCCCTCTCAACCAACGTTTTAATTACCCCTTTCTTTTGTCGTGGTTACAATTTTTTTTTCGGATACGTATAGGTGTCTCTTCACCATCTTGCTATACCATGAACGTATCACCAACATAACGCAGCCAACAATATGATTTCACGCAGTAGTAGACGAAACGGCGGTCATAAAAACCTGTAGACTACGGCCAAAAAACACCCGTAAAATAGCCTTGGCATACTTATTCAGCTACTTGATTGTCTAAGTGGAAATCCACAGTGCAATCACTAACCGTACTTCCATGAAAAATCGACCACCAATGCGCAACAACATGTAAATGATCCAATCAGGTGATTTATTTTCAAAGGAGTTCACCGAATAGGTGCCTGATAAATCATTCATATGCATATCTTATCAAAAAATCATTATTATATCTTCATCAAATTATTTCCCACGTCAAATGAGTAATTTCTCAAAAAATTTGACGGCGAATGTCGAACGAAAGGTATGCATGCTAATGAAGACTTCGGACCTTCACCTAGGAACTTGCAGGTAAATGCACTTTTGAGTGAAATTAATTTATGAATAGCTTGTCAAAGCCCTTTCAGGAATGTTCATGCACAGTTCTGGCAAATAAAATGTACAGGTAAATGCCAAAAAGGCCATGAATAAATTTCGGTGTTGTGTTCAATATGGTTTCTTGATTAAAAATTCCCAAAGGCAATTTACGAATTAGCAATCTCATGTTAGAAAATGAATGAATGAATTTATGAAAACCTATAACATAATTTGGAAAACTTCAAGAAATAAATTATGAATTTGGGAAATAATAATTGATTCTACATGAAAATAAGACAAGCTAGATTAAAGCAAGATAACAACGGTCGAATATAGCAGAAAAAGGTAAACAGATGTACCGTCACTTTTTTTATGCCAGGCGAGGCAAATGAAAAGATCAAGAAAAAGTAAGTGAAACCCTATGAAAAAAAAACAAACAAGAGATCATAAATGCGGTAGGCATTATGAAAATATATTGTGTTTTGAGCAATAATAAACTCTACAAAGAAAACGAATTAATTCTGGAATTTATTGAGAAAATGACTAGGAAAGAGAAATACAAACATTGAAGAATAAAATAAATACAAGGACTGTGACACAAAGACAAAAAACCATTACAAACATTTTAAAATAGACATCGAAAAACAGTTCAACAGCTTGAATACTTGTAGACCATAATAGTTTGTACAAAATTTAATACCGTAGTCGAAAATTAAAGTTACAGGGGATGTTAAATTGTAAAATATTGGAAACAGTCTTATAGGATGAAAGGAACCCTGAGAAACGATGGTAGAGAAACATACAATGCAACAAACAGAAGAAACAAACTGATTGTACATTAGCAGGAATAATCATGTTATATAGTTTAAGAACTGATAAAATCAGAAATGCCAACATCAGATTCAGTTTCTGGCTTTCTACTTGAATCTTCTGAAGAAAGGAAGAAAGCAAAAAGTAATTTCCTCTAAAAAAATCCTCTTCCAGCTCAGATTCGGATTAACTATTCATTACATTTTTATAATCATTATACAAATATCAACATCACGAATGGCTTTTTTTGTGTTTTATTCCTAGTTCGCTCCGATATTCAGTATCAGTTTTGATATATACTGGGTACAACGATTGAAAGCGAGATAAAAATGAAGATTCTTCTTTAAGAGGTAAATACGTCGAAATGATAAAATAATCATTTCCATATAGTTTTACACGATCCCGATTAAGCCCTCGAACTATATAATAGGGGAGCCCAAGCGGGGATTTCGGGATTTACTGAAGCGCGGCAGATTAATATACAGAGGGATACCTTGTACCCGGTTAAGTACCTCCACCAAATATGAGCCCCATATATAAGGCCGCCCGTGAAGGATGAAGGATCAGATTAGTAAAAAAAAANAAAGAGTGGGGTTTATTGCTAGTTGGATGTTTGTCATGTTTTTCTGGACATAATTTGGAATGACTATGAACATGACATTATCATGACAATATAACAAACTATCTCTGCCCCTTCGTTACATTGCCTTCAGCGAAGGCCTCCGTTACACAACTCTATTTTGGGTAAGTGACCAGTGACAAGTCTCATGACCAGCTGTAGTAATGAATATTTCATTAAATAATTTTGACACTTCAAATAAAAATGACAGAAAAAAAACTACTCTTATTACCCATTTCCAGTTTTTTCTTTGATATATCTAAATATTACCAAAGTATTACCATATCCCGATAAGACGCAATTTGGTGTTAAAACATATGCAGTGAGTTATCTGAAAAGAACCTTTGTTATCTATTAGGCGTTACAATTAATATCAATGTACCTAGGTATCCTATTTATAATAGATAAGTCTCAGAACATGTTAAAAATGTTGAAGCCAATTGAATTTTACTGGCGTGAAACGGAAAAATGATTCTTACAATGTCTCCATATATTCAAAAATTTTATTTCAGTATCCATCTTCACTCATTCTTCAAGAAAGCATGCCAAACTGTATACATCAGTATACAGTATTTCACTTCTATTCCAGAAAGTGTAATGTTTTGAATCCTTTTGAATAGTTTAAATATAACAAAAAACCAATTTAAGGTACGTCACATCTACATCACATCATTTTCGAATACAACATCAATATCAGATAAAAACGAAAATTCCGGAAAATTCCTATGATCTCACCCTCTCAAATTTTTATCATTTATGTGTTCCCGGAAATGTTTCACGCGCTTTTGAAACCTCATGGACTTTGTTAATGATAGGTATTTAAGATTGAGATTCTTTGTCTTCAACTGTTAATTCTGTCAATATAATGGAAAAAAATGTTTCAGAAAAAACTTTTGAAATCTCATTATAACTGACGGATCAACAGATTGGTCAGAAAAAAGTGCGTTCGGCTGAATTGCCCTGAAATATTATCTCTTGGGAAAGGACAAACTCGTTTCTGCTATCAGCATCTCAGTTAGATGAGTTAAAAGATACCTTCAACTTGACAGTAGGTACATTCGAAAGTCAGCTTTTATTGTAGCGAAATTTACATATCTCCTCAAGATCGGCATTCAAAAGGTAGTTCAAATACCTCCGCAACGATGCACAAAGCACGAGAAAAAAGAGTTGAGGCAACAAGCCAATTTGTAACAGACTTACCGTTATAGTTATCATAAGCAGTCGGTTTATATTCACTAGGAAAACTGTCATTACTGTAGGAAACTGCCAAAGAAGTTTTTCCAACAGCTTGGTCCCCCACTATCACGCACTTGATCCTGTTTTTTTCCTTATCACATTTCAACTTTTTTTTGTTCGATTTGCTGGAGTTGAGCATAGTCACGTGATTATTTTGAGATAAAAGAGGTTTTTTCGTGTAGTGGCAGATTGGTGTGCATTGAGGTGTCATCGTGGTTTCGTTCGTTTTTTGTTTTCGAGTCGGTGTCACTACATCTGTTTTGTCACTACACGCAAAGCGAATAACGCATAGAATAGACGGGCAAAGTAATCCTAACACAGCGACTACACGACTGACTCATTTCATTTGCGATATGCAGTCGCTCGGGAGAGACCTGTAGAGAATCCACGAAAGATAAGAAAAGGTAAACAGTGGCGGAGCGTGGAGGTTAATGCGTCTGTAGGTGTAAGTCAAGGGCGTACATATGCGTTTTAACCACTCGCGTTACTTCTCAGAAAATGTTCAATCAAACTTATGTATTCTTGTTCTTTGATCGCGAATTTGAATTCAAAAGTTGGCGCTTCGAAGTACCTTTGAGAATACGGCCACTTGAATGTCAAAAATTTGATTAACTCAGGAACTCACTTTTTTCAATAAAAGTTTCATTTATACAAAACATTTTCTCAAAACTGTATCTATTCTAATAAACTACTTCATGATTGGTCATGAAACTAAATGACACTATCACAGGGGTTTTCTTCGTTGGTTTTGTTCGAAGTGTAAAAAATCAAACTAGAAATGAATGTGATGTTGTTAAAGTTATATGGTTAACGAAATGATATCAGAAGGCCCACTAAACACATAAAGACGTGGTACTTTATTAGCAAAAATATGTTATTGCAAAAATTGAAAATGTATCACAGAACAAAAATGTACAATAGCAACTAATCTAAATACAAATAAAATACTTTTTTCAACAAAGGAAATAATAATCTAATGTATTCATAAATGAAACTAATTCACTTTTGTCGGTATTGTTTTCTTCGTGGCTACTTTTTTCTCGATTTAATTTATCCAAAAACAAGCACTGTTCCCGAACAACAGAACTGCAACACTTTTCTCAACAAGCGTTTCATCAACCAAGTTGACATTTGAAGATATGGAATAGAGTAAATCTCAACTCTAAATCTGGTCTCTATTTATATCTAACAGGGTACAATTACACTTTCCAATATATATCAATGACTTCGGGTAGAAATTCACGGGAATTTTTTTGTGAAAGTTCCAGCTAATTCTACCAGAGCGATTCATATGAAGATGAACAATGGGCTGATTTGGAATGGGATCTTTTTCACTGTTCATAGGTCTCATATTTCCAGATTTTCGAAAGCATCCACAAATCTAGTGTCATGTAGCGATCTAAACAATTCCATTTATCTCAACAGTTTTCATTTAATCTATGGCCGTAGAGTGATTTTTTTTTTAAATGTGCAGCGTCTCTGTATCTCAAAATACAGGATGATGTGAAAAAGTTTGGTGATAAATATTTCGTATAAGTTAGCTTTTTGCTAACACCGTAGCTTACCGAGAAACCTACGGTGTTAGCGAAATGCGTCTATAAATAGAATATGTTGAGAAAACTGTACGAGAATGGATTGACAAAGAAGTGAGGCCGGAATGGAAAGAGATCTCCAAGTAAGGCCAGCAGGAAAAGGGTTACTGGCTCCAATGGGATCTATTTGCATTCGAGATGATGGGAAAGCCCGGATGGAAGAACCTACAAATTACAGATAATCCTTCCATAGATGTGTATCCCGAATATCCTTGAACATTGCATGGCATTTCGGAGTAAATAAAACGCTAACGAAAGTGCGTGAGAAGTACCTAGTATTGGGTCAATTGCCGTCGAGACGTAGAATAGTGGTGTAAGCGCTGTGACCTGTGCTCTTCGAGAAAGGGTCCGAAGACAAGGCAAAGAGGAAGGTTGAAGCAATACCTCAGTGGGTGCCCTTTCGAAATAATCGCAGTCGACATTCCGGGACTTCCCCCTGTAACCACATTCGGTAACAAGCACCTTATGGATGTGATGTGATTGTTGGATTGCCTGAAGTGGTATCCTTACCCAACCAAGAGGCAAAAACGGTGGCAGAAGCCGTATTGCAGAACGTAATCTCCAGACACGGAGTACTCCAGGAACTACACTCGGATCAGGGCCGCAACTTCGAATCGGAATTATGGAAGGAAATGATGACACTCATGACACTACAGTGTTTTTCGAAGATTTGGAAAAAAACACTCTGAAATTAAGAAAGCTGACGAGTATGCCTAGGCACAGATCATCATTTTCATATATGCGTCCCTGAACTGGGGAGGGGTAAATATACAATAATTGTACCAAGACATATTGCTATCCAATTCGACATTATTCATTGATGATGCGGGCAGTGTTCCCAGGGGATTCTTCTTTTTTAATATGTTCTGGAAACTCCAAAAGTACAATCATATTCATGTTGATACTTCGATGAGTGAAAAATCTCGTTTTATTTAAATAATATTGAAAACTTCAAGCAGGGCTCACATTTATCACTTATTGTTTATTTTTCACAACGATTCACTAATTCAGTGCCATTGGACAATGAATTCGGCTAATCACCTCTTCTATATAGTAACCCTGGCTTTCCTATGAATTTGTATTTCACGTTTTTCGATCAGATCTTCCGCTTATTCAATATCAATCTCGCGCAGAACAACGTTAATGGATTGGCAACAGTGCTGGCGACACTGATTCTGCGATTCTGAAGTATGTGGTTCCGATCCGATATTTGTCTGTCCCATCTGACATTTCTTATTGTTTACTGTTTTCATCTAAAATTCTAAAATATGGAAATTTGTAATAAATACTTCTTCAGCCGTAGAAAAATATATTATATTCATTTGAAAAAGTGAATGTGGATGTTTCATGGAAATATTATGAAGGAATAATCCAATTGTCATTTAAAGATGAGAATCAAATTCTGCTACCTCTTCATTCATGAGAAATCCTTTGAAAACTTGTGAGTTATTGAATGGAATGACTAGGAAAAACTTACCTTTTTGAGAAGTGGCTCTTTGTGAAGAAAATGGTTCACTATATTCATCAGTTTTAATTTAATGATGACTAATTACATGCAAAGAGTGGGGTTTACAGCATGGAGAAGAAAAACTACAATCTTAATAGCATCTGGATTAGTGATACTAATAATATTTGGGCTGCAGTTTTCAAGACTAGATGATAATAGAACTGACACCTTGATAGAGGAAGAGAGAGATGCAGAAATTGTTGGGGCTGCTTTGATGAAAAGTGTAAAAAATGTTATGTTCATAGAGAGTGTGAATAAAATTAATAAAGACAGAATGGATTCACTAATAAGATCAAATAGTGATGGATCAGATGAATCAGCAAAGAATATAAAGCATGGAAGAGATGCTAAATCAGATAAGCATTACGAAAGTCTTGAAATGGAGCAACAGCTTGGGATTCCCTTTGTTAATTTGGACTCAAAAAATCCTTATGTTCCTGGGAAAAGGATAGTTCATCTAGATTTGAAAGGAGCCCCTCCTCTTTTGTCATATTTGAGAAAGCTGTTCCCTTTGATTAAAATATTAGGAGCCACTGGTGTTTTGTTAGGTGAAACTTCTCATAAGTAGTTTATTAATGAATCTATTTTTTAATGTTTTTGTGTTAGTTCAGCTTTCATGCTAAAAAAAAGCACCAAATAAGCTATTGAAGCTTCAATAACATGTCTTGGATACATAAAAACAAGCTGAACACACTAACAACCTAAGAAAATCTTTTCATTGGGTATCACTCAATATTTCAAAAACACTGAAAAGTGTCATTTCATTTAAAAAGTAGTTCATTTCTCTGTGTGATAATTAAAACATTGCATTTCACCAGTTCAGTTGTGATATAAATAATTATATCTGAAGTGCAGTGTTGTAGACTTTCAATCCCAAAATCTATGTTGATTGGGGTTAAGCATATTGTTTCGTTCTTAATTGATTAATGTAATTTTGTGAGCCAATCCAAGTGATTTTTGCCAGGATGGAAGAATCAAGGAGATTGCTCAGTAATTGCTGGCAGTGTTTTTGTTACTCTTTTTAAAAATCAGTATTATTGAAGTATTTGAAGTGATCTGGAAAAACAGTTCCAAAACACATTGATGAAAAAAGTTATAGGACTGATTAACCAATTTTTTGTGAATATTATTGAATCACTGTTTGATCCATGTATGTTTCTTTATTTTAATGAACTTAGTATGTCTGTCAGGGTACTCATCTCTAATTCTGTTACTGGTGTTGAATACACAGAAAAGTACACTGTTATTATTCAAATTGGAAGGGGTTAATTTTAAGGAGAGATCATTTTTTGACTTTCTATTTCTCCATCTTTATAGAAAAAGTTTATTTTGAAATTAATTGCTTTTTCCTGCCAATGTTGCATAAGTATTAATTGAAGTTATTTGGCTTGAGGTTTGAAGACTAGCAAGATACATTTTGGGGTTTCACAAATAAACATGCCATTTTATGCTTATTTATGATATTTTTTCAATTGCTAGTCTACATTTCTTCATTTTCCTATGTGTATAAAACTAAATGCATTGTATGTTTTTTTATTCGAATATTCTTCATTTAGAGTATTATGAACCTGACCGTCACTACATATTATGCCTCTTCCATTTACAGAGTGTTTTTCTTTTGTACGCTGGTAACAATACTTTATACACACATAGTATTCAGCTTTATTTTTAGATTAGCAATATTGGAAAAAACACCTGTCAATTTCTTCAGAAACATTTAGAGACTGCTTTACGTTCAATCACCTTAATTTATCTAATATAACTTTATCGAAAGGTTAATTTAACAAAAGGTATATTGAAGAAAGTGAAACATTTTTTGCGTACCTCAAGGTTCACTACTTGATCCATTAACGATCTACCGTTATCCAATATTTCACCAAACATATTGTTTATTATAACGACACTGCTTCTGAGTGTGACCTAAATACTAAGACTTTCAAAATGACCGAGTGAGATAGAGGATACTGAAGTATAAAATTTGTTCATGTTGAATGACAGTTACTAATAAAACAAAAACCTGTAAAATGGCATTCAGTTTGAGAAATATAGTTGGAAATGCAGAATCAAACAGAAGTTTCAAATTCTTGGGAGTGTACACCTAAACTCTCATTCAAACTGGTATCAACATTTTGAATCGTTTTGTCATCATAAATTAAGCAGTAGATGAAATTTTGAAAAAAACAATCAAGGTCCCTAAAAAAATGAGAATGTAACAAGAAAATAGAGTACCACCCTCCTCTGACTTTATAGATTTGTGCTTTCCTTAACTCGAATTTCATTTATTTCAGAATATGAAGACATGTTTCCCTTCAATGGGCCGCTAAAAAATATATCTGCTGGTAATGCCTACACTATGGATAATATCAAAGAAATTTTGAGCCTCGCAGATAGTTCAAAACTTGAAGTGATTCCTCTCGTTCAAACCTTTGGACATGTTGAATTTGCTTTGAAACATTCAGATTTTGCTCATTTGAGAGAAGTCGTAGGAAGCCCTCAAGCTCTATGTCCAAGTAGAAAAAGTTCTTTAGATTTCATCAGAGAAATGATTGATCAGGTTTGTATTTTTATATATTTGTTGATGATGTTATCCCTTGTACATATCAAAAGTACGTAAAGAACTGTGGCTGCTCATCGTTTTGTCGTTCAACTTAGTAAATCTCGAACTTCACTGTTCAAGAACTTTTTCATTTCTAAAACTACGTTCATTTGGAAAACTGCATTTATTGGGAATAAACTTCCTGCAAACGTTTTTCCAAATGGATTTAATGTCCAACGATTCAAATCCAATGTGAATTGCTACTTTGGCACAGGCACCGCCTTAAGGATTTTTCTGTAGTGCTTTTGTTTTGTCTTCGAAAAAATCTAAAGAGTCTGCAAACTTCAATGAGAAAATCTGATATTTCATATGTTTCTCCTCCTATTTTTGGTCGATATCCATCCAAAAAGGGGTAGGAAATGAATAGTTCCAATGAATTTGGCACTTCTCATTCCTCACAACAGATTCAATATCACCTGGAGTATAAGGCAACACCGGTGTCCCATCAATATTGTAGAAGAGCACACTCTGTCGGTTGGTATATGCACAACAGCAAGTGAATAAGGGTCTCTGGCGCCTTATGGCAGGCCTTGCATCTGGTGTCAGGAACCTCATGCGACTACGGTAGACTGTGTTGAAAATACTGTCCTGGCAAATCATGATGAACCCTTCAGTTTCCGACTTCAGCCCACTAGACCTGAGAAAAGGTAAGGTGCTTTGATAATATGAAGTGTTCAATGTTGAAGAAGGCTCCAAACACTGGCTTACATTTGTGTTACCGTAGGAGTAAAGTGATCTCTAAGGTGACTCTTTTGCTGAATTAGTTTCAACTCGATGACAGGGTTTTAATCACCTTGTTCAATGTTGAAAACTAAACCAAGTTCATCAGCTGCTCAGACAGCCACTGCTCTCTCATGGTTGCATAGAATCATTATTATTACTTCATGTGAAAATACTTTTTTTGAGGAAACTTTATTTTTTGCCGGACATTTACCGAATCTGGGAGATATCGTTTGCTCATTTTTCATCTTATCTTCGCTTAATATTAACCCTCAATATATTTTTCATCTTCTTTCAGATCATGGTCCTACATCCTACTACAAAATACCTACACATTGGCTGTGATGAAGTATTCCAAATGGGAGAATGTGACATTTGTCGACTGGAAGTTCATGAAAATTTGTTTCTCAAACACGTTAAGAATGTCGCAGATCTAGTCCGATCCAAATATCCTAACGTTCGAGTGATAGTTTGGGATGATATGTTGCGCCACATATCCCAACAGTCAATGCTTGACGTCAACCTTGGAAATTTAGTTGAACCAATGATTTGGGTTTATGCAGAAGACATATACCGTTTTGTCCAGCCCACCGTTTGGGAAAAATATGCTGCCGTGTTCAAGACTGCTTGGACAGCCTCAGCATTCAAAGGAGCGTTTGGAGAAACTCTATATATACCGAATGCCAGAAGGCATCTTGAGAACAATTTGAGATGGCTAGACGTTATGGCTACGCAGTCGATATCATTCAAGAAAGGTCTCGCTGGAATAGCTATTACCGGTTGGCAACGTTATGACCATTTTGCTGTTCTCTGCGAACTACTTCCAGCTTCCATACCATCTCTAGCTTTAAGTTTGATAGCCCTAACTCATGGATATTTCAACTCGTCTTTGAAAGACAAACTTCTATTATCACTCAGTTGTCCAGAACAGAGTTCAGATACGTCTCCCTTTATAACGCTAGAATCAGATCCGTTCATGTGGGAGAAATTGAATAGATGCATGTTCCCAGGTAACGCATTTTTCAGGTTGACCAATAGGTATCACAATCTGGAAGCAGAAGTAAAGGAACTGTTGGATGTCACGAGGAGAAGAAAAGGATGGATGACGTCTTACAATATTCGCCACAACTACAGCTTGCCACTGAGAGTAGACGAATTGACTATCGATTTGCCTAGAATGTATCATGGTATGATGTCTCTAGCTAGATCGGCGGTGGATTCTATGACAGAAATTTTTGATAACTATACAATATCTGAATGGATCGAACAAAAAATTTACCCATACGTTTTTGAGTTTGAACTGATTCAAAACCAAAGTATTGTGCTCAAAAGTGTGAATCATTGGCCTTCCAGGCCTTTGGCACCTCTTAAAGATATGTATAGGTTGAATATTGGTGTTGCTATCAATTAGGAAAATTTGGAGGGATATAGATGTTCACTGGAAATCACAGCAGATGTTATTAATTTCATCTGAGGAAGATCTGAGTACAAATATTAAAAACTATTGTGATTCATATACATTTCCTCAATTTCAAATTTTAATTCATCGAGATTTATATATATTCAAATGTACCAATGACATAAAATAAAACATAATTTTCTGGTTGTATAACGACATTGCTTTTCACAATTGTATAGAAAAAAAAATAAGTCTTTGGAAAATTATTAGATATCCATTATAAAGGTAATGTAACTTTGAGTATAAAAATATTTCAAAAGCTCTAGAGATACTTGTGGAATGATGATGAAAACACAATACTTTTCAGATTCACAACTCTAATGTGGAAATTAGGTGAAATTATAGAAAAAGAACTATGACCAAAATTCTAAATATTTGAATTTTTTTCGTGAAACGTGTGACACAAAGACTCGTTTGAAATTTTGGATTTTTATGTGAGTTATATTTGAGATTTGTTCACAATATTTCAACAAAACAAAGGTTTATCAGGTATTGAGTTCCATTTCGACTTCAATTAGACCACCAATAACATTTGAATTCAGTGAATTCCTATCTTTGTTTTAATTATCAATATACTGATCCGTTACTTGATGGAACATCATTTATTACATTTACTTAATGAAGATGAGTTTCACCTCAGTAGCTTCCTCAGCCGAATTCTATTCATTACTGTGTAGTGACACAAGTCTTCAGTAAAGTTATAAGTGTGAAAATTGTATAATTGTGAAATAATTATTTAAAAAACGGTCAGTATTCTTTGTTTGAAAATGTATAATATAATTCCAAAATAGTAGGTACTAAATTCACAGAAATGACTGTGTACGGAAATTGTACTGATTATATAACAAAAAATAAGAAAATGTTGACACAAATGTTCAATGATTTTCAATTTTGCACAAAAATCATAATGCTGGTTTTTGAATAATGGAGATGACAAAATATATTTTCAAACGTAATTCTTTGGGAATAAATATTTCAATTCATTTGAATAAAGATCCTGGGTTTTTTAAGTTTTCACTTAAACCAACGAACTCACCTCTTGGGTCCATAAGTTTTCCCTAGATATTGTTCTAAATATCACCAATTGAATAGAACTAGCCGATACTTGATGAAAATCCATAACAAAAGCTAATTAATACAGTTTATTGTATGATTTTCACTATAAAAGGTTTTACAAAAACCGTGACATGTGTTTCGATATAAAATAGCTTTCTCAAGCAATTTATGCTTGAGAAAGCTATTGTATAGCGAAACACATGTCGCGGTTTTTGTAAAACCTTTTATAGTGATAAACTATTAATTATGTTCCAAATATCACCATTTGCAAACAACTTGTTTCTTGCATCAAGTTCATATTAATGAACAAGTTCTGATGACCCACTTCATTTTAATACATTATTTGAATCTATACTACATAAATCAAAACTACTGATATGTTACTTAGATATTTTTATACACATTTGATGTTGGGATCGAGATATTTAAATTATTTATGATTTTTATTGAAATATCTGTATTCATTTTTCACATATTGTGAAATAAACAAAATTTTATAAAATTTAGATTTCAAAGTTTATTAATCTACAAGGATCACTGAAATTATAATTTAACGAAAGTACATTTAGAACTCGAAAGACACGATGAAAAAGAAAGTTGGTGAAAGAAAATTTATGACAAAATACCCAGACAACACTGAATAGCCGATGAATATTCAATGATATCCAGTTTATGTTCTTAGGATATATTATGGACGTCTAAAGTATACCAAGTCCATAGAATATCATACATTTACAAGTTCAGCTTGGTACTCGTTTTTCACTAGAGCATACACTATGGTTTGAAGTAAGGCATATTTTTCAAAGAATATATTACCACTGTTGAATACCACCATTCACACATGCTTCCTTTGTTTAATTTTTCAATGTCATTACATATAGTAGTCTCTCCAAATTTTGCTTTTCACATCTTTCAAAACTACTGATTTGTTTGGTTTGTTCACTCACTCGAATTGACTGCCGTGTTGGTCGGTGGTTCAAGCCCCAAGAGGAACGATCTATTCTCACTTGCTGTCGTCCAACCCGTGTTAGGAATCACAGGTTAAAAGGTAACACCTCGATAATCCTTAGCTCGCACAAGTCTCGACTTCTAAGGTTGTTGTTCGTAGGGGTGCGACAGCTGGTTAAGGGAAAATCAGATTTTTTTTTATTGATTAAAAAATCTGTTAGACATTGCTAACTATAGTAACCCATACTGAAGTGTAGAAAAGTTTTGCAATACACACTTCCCTGAAAAATTATTAAGCTGTCCTCTGATCAGCACACTCTAAAAGCCTCTATTTACATAAAAATGTTGAGGTATCTTCTTAGAATGATGTTCGCATCTGATAAAAATAATGTTCATGAACTCTAACTTCCATGTTCCTTTTATTCTTGTGAATCTCAGCCACTATTTTCAATTGCAAAAACTGAATATTAGTGAATTGTCAAAATAAGACTTTACCTGTTGTGATAAATTCATGTTAGATTCCTTTTTAAAATATTGTACTTTTTAGCATGAATATGAAATATAAGTATAATATCCACAAATTGTTTTTTTATTTCAATCATTGTTTTGATCAGTTTTTGTTGAGTATATCACAGTTTTTGACCTTTTTGAGAATTTTTACCTTCCATAATTTGAAAAAGATGAAAACTATAATAAAGAACTCCATACAGGTGTAGAAAATGTGCTATTTATTAGTAATTTTCAACTTTCAACTGGAATATTTCTCCGATCATGAAAAAATAAACGAAAAATTCATAAATTATTGAGTGTTTCAATGAAACTTCTACCCCATTAGAAATAAAATGAACTTTCAGTAAGATATATGGACTGATGCTGAATGAGAATGAAAATGAATGTAAAATATTACCTTTTGCCAAATTCATCGAAAAAACTTTGAAGTTTCTTGAATTGCTTTAATTTTACATCAGTCCAAGACTTTTCAGGGATATTTGTGAAAACTCTCAGAATCAGGATTCATTCTGAGGGTATTCACACAATAAATTTACTGGCGGTAAAGAAATCTTGAAGAGGTTGATCACAGTAAATTACAGTGTCAATCTCAAAAATTGCATGTACCAAAAAAAACAACAATTGTTTGTCGACACTGCAATTGAGAAAAATTGTCTCTTCAAACCCAACTTCGAACATTCTTATTCTTCTTTTAAGAGTAGTAGCTTGATCAAAATCTTACCAGGCATTTGGGTAATAGTGTAATAATGAGGCAATGATACCAATACTATTTACAATTCGTAAATTCATCAAGAAAAAAAAAATCACTGAAGAAAAATTTGAGTCTAGAAACCTACTGCGTTCCTACAAAAATGTATCACAACCTAAGTGATCACTTGTGAGAAGTAATCAATGAATTGAGAGTGATTGCTAAAATTCCCAACATATAATACACATGCACCTATAAATGTAGGTAGAAAGTAAAGCAGAATATACCCTACATTATTTGTTTGACAATGGAGAAGTAGAAAGTCAAAGAGCTTTTTTTCCCAATTCGCATCACTTCTCTCGAAAAAAGAACAACATTAATGGTGATGTAACATGGCTACTTAATAGACACATTTTTTGACTACATACCTCAACAGGTGATTCTGAGGTCAAAGTTTAAAAAGACTTCTGATAAGGATAAGAAACTCATGTTGGAAATACCTAGCAAAAACAGGTTTTCTACTGGTGTGAAATATTTCAGGACTGATCAAAAGGATGCTATTCACAACGATGTAACATACCACAAGACTCTGCCCTAGGCTTAATTCTCCTTCCGCTAAATATAAATGACTTTACACCTGAGATCATCTTTTTGCAGATCATAGGAATATTTTCAGAGATCCTATTTTCCACCATGATGAATCTGCAGCTGAAGAAAAGTATGAGTATTTTGACAAATAGTCCCAAAAATCCAGAAACAAAATATACAAGGATGGATTTTCAATCAATCAAGTTGAGGAACAAGGAACCAAGAACTAATAATACTGATGAGAATCACATATATCACAAATTGTGAAAATACGCCAACATACTATATAGTATTTTTAATTATTTAATTAAAAAGCCTGGTAACGGATAATGAAAGCCCCCAGAGAACTACTACACCAATTTCACCAACAAGAAAATCAAAAAACCTAGAGGCCACCTGACTGAAACATAAAAATAATAATTCATTAACCTTGGACCTCCAAAAAGTTGAAAATTGAGAGGTGCGAGAAACTGCTGAAGAATATTTCATTGGTAATTGAGTTGTTTATTCCTGAAAGTTTATTCCTGGAAAAAGTAGTCACAGCTGATAATATGATCACCTTCAAAAATAGATTAGATGAAGAGCACACACTTCATAGAGCTTCTTTCAGTAGGTACCAATAAGGAAGGTAACCAGTGAATGTCTAAACCAGTATTATATCTTAAAAAAGGAAGACACTTTACATAAAAAGGTTCTATCAGCTTTTGCCGGTCAGTATTTTTGAATAATAACAATGCCACTGTTTTATCCTGTAAGCACAACCAATACCATACCTGTATGAGATCGCATGTGGACCTGCAAATCAGCGGCCCTGCTTGTCCTTTTGCCACAAGTACTGCATTGAAATTTTTTTTCTCCTGAATGAGTTAAAAGATGTGCAGACAGGGCACATTTACTAACAAACGTCTGCAAATAAATATACCAGTTTGATTCAATATTGGCAACTATAAAAAATTGGAAGCAAGGATTATAGCAATGTGATTTTTTAATATTTTCATGTTCTGTTCTTTTGAAAGATGCTTAAAAATATTATCTGTGAACATTTTTATAAGGAAAAGAGAACTGACAATGTTCTGTATTTAGTATTTCCTTAAACAAGATAATTTTTTTTATATAATTTGTTTTAATTTTATCAGTTATAAGACTTTTGGATTGCCTAATTTAGTTTTCATGGTTGGTTTTAATATTATGGAATTTCTGATATTTTCAATTTCTTCAGAGAGGAGATCTAAAAGTAAAAATGCATTTTATTGAATGCTATAGGTTCCAACTTCCATTCTCGTAAATAATGTTAATAGATTTGAAATGTATGGAACGAAGAAATAGTATTGTCCAATAGAAATTGAATGGAAAATAATATTTTTGTCTATTATCTAAAGACGATGTAGATTTGCTATGTACTCGTATAGATGAAAAAAATAATATGGAAAAAATACTTGTACACATTTTTATTTTATGTTGTATAAATTTCAAATCTGAAAACATATTTTCAGATAATGAAAGTCCACCACCACATTCAAACAATACATGTGATTGTTTATCTTAAAGAGATTCTGAGGAATGTATTATTGAAGCATTACCATTTAACTGATGATGAATACTGTAATTTGGAATAAGATAAGCTGCAACAGGTCAATTCCTACAGGACTTTATACAAAGATGGATAGATCATGCATAGAAGTTACTTTCAGACACAAACTGGAAGAAAATGTACCGCCCCAGACAACTACTTTCATATGAACATTAAATTACACGAAAATAACTTTTTCTTATTCAGTTTGTACTCCCAACATACGATATGTAATTGAATCATATGCCAGACAAAGGAACGGTGAACAATATAATATATGAGAGTTACAACATAAAACTTGACTTGCATGGAACACTATCATCCACATTGACAGACCTCAAAGTTTCGAAATGAGACACTTGTCTCATTGCCTCATCAGCACTTATCTGAATAATATTACAAGATAATATTCTAACATTATGACTTTATGTCACGGATAACACAAATCTACTCATGTCATGATGACAGAATGTAAAGACATTCATATACTTATTTGAATCGATTTTAGCCATAGGAATCTTGTTTGAATTGAAAGGAATATATTTTTAGGATAGATTAGTTTTGGGGAAAAAGCTTTTTGACGCTTACTTCTCATTTCTTCCAAAGAAAAGAAGTCAATCAAACTTAAAATAAACTCTTCACAACTGCGTTTATGTGGAATAAACTTCCTGAGAACGTTTTTCCAAATGCACAGGCACCCCTCTGAGAGCGTCTTAAAGATTTTCCTGTAGTGCTCGCGTTTTAAACTTAAAAAAAAATATATGTAAATCACGCATATAAGTCACTTTCAGACAGAAACTGGTAGAAAAACTCTCTCGAAACAACTACTTCACATGAGCATTGAATTACACGAAAGAAAAATACTTTTTCATATCATCTGGATAGGTAATGATGAGGCAATAAGACAAGACAGAAAAAGTAAGATACCTTTTGTTGACACTTCAACATCAAATAAAAAGAAGCCCATGAAAAATGAGAAATGAAACTTTCTATGTTTTTTTACCGCTTGTATTTGTAACTTACGTTACTGCAGTTTCGTCTTATAAGAACATACAATTATTGTATTCATTTGAAAATGTTCTTGTAGAATGAAACTGCACTATCGTTAGTTAAAAAATACAAGTGGTAAAAAACATGGAAAGTTTTATTTCTCATTTTTCATGATGATCTCCAACTACGTAGTAACGGCTATATCCATCAATTTATTAAAAATAAACTCAGCTTTCACAAAAGTAATTATTCACGATAAAATGGTATTGGAATATCAGCTGAATATGACTGATGCGTCAATAGCTTTCGACAGATCAAAGTATAATATTCCACGGTGAAAGTTTTTGGTTACTAAATCTAATGCAAATCTGAACATCCCTACCTTGGAACATAGATCACATCCATATGGCTTCTCCTTGGTATGGCTACGTTTGTGAATATTCAAGTAAGATGATGTTGCAAATGATGCATCACATGTATTACAACGAAATGGTTTTTCTCCTGTATGTATTCGTTTATGAGCTTTGAGTACGAATACTCCAACCCACAGTTATATTTCTGTTGCTATCTCAACTAATGAACTGCGACTGACAATGTGTATAAGACCTTTCTTTTTCAACAACCACTACCAATGAAATTTCACCAGTTGCTGTACTATTCTTAAGACAGTTTGACTCGCAATAGCAATTACAGTTTTCAGACTTGTCTTTCACATCTCGAACTTAATAAGAGATTCCTTCTCCTATAATGGCGGTCAATTGCTCAATCACTTGCTATTAAAAACATCCAACTTGAAACAATTGTTCATTAGTGAATGATAATAAGTAACAACTTTGGAAGTTGTTTCACATTCAGTACAGTTTCTGTTTATATATTAGTTGAGAATAAATAGTAATGAAAACATACCGCATGAAGTACATTCATATTTTTTCTCTCCTGTATGTATTTTGTTATGGACTGATAAGCCATTTGCTGCTGAGAACCCTTTTCCACAAATCTTACAGTTCAATGGTTTTTCACCTGTGTGGGTTCTTGTGTGAATCTGAAACCAAATATTTTTGAAATAGTTTTGAGAACATCTTTTCATTAGTTTTGTATAGATAATTAATACCGTTTCTCAAATCATTTGATACTTCTGTTCAATTCAATACTTCTGTGAGTAAGCTGATCACAAATAAGTGAAATAGGGTTGTTGTTGTGTGAGGATAGAAACATCTTTGAAATTTTTTTTCTAAGTAACAATTTTATTGAATTGAATCAGTTAGTACCTGGGTGAAAACAAGTTTGGAAACAACACAAAGGAAATTTTTAAAATACCAACAGTTTGAATGGTTTAAAAAAATGAATAGTGATGTAATCCCAATACCATCATACCAATATTTTCATGTCCTTTTTAGAATTAATGGTCTAAGACTTACACCTCATCACTTAGACTCTAAATGATGAGGTAGTGAATGAAAATATACAACTCAAAAAAATAAGAATGATACATTTTGTTCAATAAACGTTTCAACATGGAAAACTCAGTGTCTCTTTCCGTGACTAAACTGTTCATCTAAACTGGAAGACAAGAGCAAGTTAGACTACTTTCCTCGACTTTGATTCCATTTATATATAGACAATGTATTCGATATCTTTAACACCAAGAAAAGTAATGTGGAGGGATTTGGAGCTGGATGAGAAGCTAATTCTTAGACGTCTCAGTCTGAGAAAATTGTATGGTTTACAATTTTATGTCTACAGGCAGAACACTAATATTTTCAGTTATACATAAAACATAGATGAAGGTAATTAGGAAACGTGAATATAGGGGACGTCTTTGTGAATCCTGGATTTTCCAAAATTGTTCTCTTCAGCAAGTGTTGGGAAATCCTAAGGATAGAACGATGATGATGTTAGTAAAATGAGCATCTAGAGAAATATGCAGTTAGAGGATATTGGAGCAGTGACTGCATTGAAGCATGAAAATATCCATTTAACATCAACTTAAACATACTGTACTTTGTGTTGTTTGGATTGAAAAAGTCCTTTATTCTGTAGATTCGGCATATTCATCAATCAATAAACAATATGTAGACTGAGTCAGTTTGAATAGTAAAATTAATGAAATATTGTATTATTTAGAAAGTGAATAGAAACTGTCTCAATATCATTGCAATGTTACGGCCAATAGCAACGCATCAACAAGAAAGGTGGGGTACCTGAGTGAACACAAATACAACTTACAAACTAGAAATCACTAGTCATTGGTAAACCATCAAGATGAATGAACTTCTGAAGAAGCCTGCCACTCGTGCTGGCAAAACGTTAGGATACAGTTCCAAACCATGACGGCCTTCAAACCCGAATGAAGATTGTAACAATGAATATGATATATTACTATTGAATCTTGTGAAAAGTTTAAAAAATTCAAAACAATAATAACTTACCTTCAATTGATTTTTTTCATAAAACCTCTTTCCACATACTGCACAAATATGTTTCCTTTCTCCTACATGGATGCGCATATGTTTCACCAGATTACCAGGTTGGGAAAATTTTTTACTACAGTATTTACATTCGTGTGGTCGATAATCTGTGTGTGTTCTCAAATGAAGTTTATAATTCTTCATTACTAAAATAAGATCAAAGCTGAATTGAATTGATTCTGTTGTGGTTGAATCTAGATATCAGGATGTTTTGAAACTCAATAATGATATGAATGTGTGTCATATATTTAATTTATCACTGGGGAATGGTGGTTTTTTTCTTGAAAATCAGCAACTAGAATTAGAATTTATTGATTCATCACTGAAGAATTTACATATACATACTCTGAAATCGAGTTTTCATAGGCACCACCTAGTAAACCTATATTATTCTTTAATATACAGTATCATTAGTAGTAACATCATTGTGTGGTAAAAAAAATTCATAAGGTTAATATATGATTTGGACTATAGAGAAACGTGCAGAAACACGTTCATTGAAAACAATATCCTAACATTAACATCTATCCACCTCTACAAATTATTAATATATACCCATCAAAATGCTAAAAATATGAATAGAAACAGTGACTACCATGAATATGATACCAGGCAGAAGAATGACTTCCATTTAAAGAGCCCTCTATATTCTGGAGCACATTTGTTCAATTTTTTGCCTGAAGACTTGAAACTCATCACCAATATGAAACATTTCATACTATCTTTGAAAAAGTTTCTCATCCGCCATGCCTTTTATTCATTAGACGAGTATAAAAAAGGTAGCGACTAGGCAGTTTTGTTTCAATGTATTTTAACATGTGTTTATATTTAAATATTTTTTATTTTATTTTATTCTTATTATTCTTAATCAATTTGTAACGACTAGAGTGTTTGTTATGTTTTTTTTCTTAAAGTTTATATAATGAGAATTTTTCCCTCTTGATGTACTGTGACTTATCTCATGTTGTAAAGCAACCATAAGAGATTAAATAAATATCTATCTATCTATCTCTATACATATATACATGCCTAGACTGAAATGCAAAACACTTTTGATTTATTTTCTCATATATTTGCCTTTAAAACATAACATTAAAAATGGATTTGAAACTCAGAGTTTAAGAATTAAATGAGCAGATTTTATCTGGAATGTGAATTGAGTCAGTTTAGTTGAAATATGAAAGAAGTAGATCTACCCGAAGAGTGATTTATGTTTGACAACATATAACATCTATTTCTACAAATTATAGCTAGATAGATCAATGTTCTCGTTAAATTAAGTTAATTTTGTTATTTTTAATTAGTAAAATAATGACGATAATTCTTTATTACATATTTTCAGTGAGAAACTGAAATACATTTGCATATTATCAGCTTGAAAACATTGCATTGCTGCAGATCAATCAACAACAATGCGGAAGAACACTATTAGGACATTTCATTGACACTCAGTTTTTGCCTCCTTATACCAAATCAAAAGCATTATTAGAGGATCCCATATAGGAAGAAATGAGATGATTATTTCATAATTTATTGCAATGAGAGCTTCTTTTCATCATATTAAGAAATAGTTATCTGAATATATCTCCTTATACTTACCAATGAATTCCTGGCCACATACTTCACAATCAATTTTTTTCCCATGTTTCGTCATATGTGATTTTAAAGCTATTTGATATTTGAACTTCTTCCCACACTCCTGACAAATGAATTTCTCAGGAACTTTTTCGGAGATATGTGTTTCTGAGACATTTTTTTCAATGGTGGTTACATTGCTTTCTACTACTGCAGCATGTTTTATGACAGAATCCACACAACTGTTATCTGAAGCATGTTTGATAACAGATTCAAATTCATTACTAGTTCCAGATTTATTCTTTGTTCCATTGTTAAAGTCATCAGTTTGTCGGACAATTTCTAAGGTGGAATAGTCCCTACATTCATCGTGATGCTCGGGACTAGAATTTACTTGGTCATTATTTGAAGAAAGGTCTATATCATAATAAACTTGTTTCACAGGTTCAATTTCTTTTTCCACATTAATGAGATTGTTGCTCAATTCACTATTTCCAAGTAAATCTGGAACCTTTAATACTAAATTGTAAAGATCAGCAAACTTGATCAGCTTCAAAAGTTCTTATAAGTAAAGATTGGATCTGAGTTATTTCTACTTATGGGGTTGGAATTAGGATATCATCTTGAGACATAAGATATATTATAAAGTGAACAGGAAAAGGAATCAAGAGAAAATAGTTCCAACACATTTTTTCATAAAAGCTTGTGTTTTGAGATACTAGACATTCAAAAAATCAATTAGTTATTGTACTTTATTGCCTAAAAAATATATTTTATTGATGAAGGATAGGTGTACAACAACACTATTACCCAAAAAATTATGAATAAATAAAATATAAAAATGTATAGGAATCACACGTTAAAAGGTAAGACCTCGTTTGTCTTTAGCTCGCACAAGATTTTAAACAGATATATGAAAATAAAAAGTACAGCCAAAGTTAAGGGGAAAGAATGAAAATTCAGTCTTCATAATATTAAAAAAAAAAATTAAAAACACCTGATCTAAAGCTGGTTTGAAAATATGTCCTCAAAATATTTTGCCAGGCTGTAATACTCATTTTTTTATCAATTCATAATATACACTCGATAGGTAGAAATATGTTCTCAATATATTTTGCCAGGGTGTAATACTCAATTTTTTTTATCAATTCATAAAATAAAATCAATAGTTAAAATTGGAATCTCTGACATCAAATGAATCTATTAAAAACACTTTTTCTCATCTCCTGATGATACCAACTTGGTTAGTGAAACACACGTCAGGAGACGGTATTTCGATGTGTGGAAATTGTGTTTTATTATATTCATAGTATATAGCTGAATAACTAATGAAATATCTCTGAAACTATTGTGTGTGACGGTATTTAAAAGATGAGCAGCTCTATACTGTCAATAAGTATACTGAACTTCAAACTTGACCTACTAGAAGCCCACAAACATAGCCAATTCTTGATATTTTGTTTTTCTTTGGAGATATAGAAAAGTATTTGCAAAAATTGTTTAGCACATTATTGTTATTCTTTATAGGTAGGTACTGAGATTGACAACAGTCACTCAATAATGACTTCCCAATATTTCCCAACACCCAAGTATGTACTTACTTTTCTATTTACATCTGTTACAATCAAATTGTCAGGAACCTCTTCAAATTTTTGAATTTCAAATTCTCCTGCGTTTTCACCTAATATCGTAATAGACCTATATAAGATTGCTTGATCTGGATTTAATATATTTTTCAGCTGTATTTCAGACTTCTGGCATTGATGCTTGAAATTCAGGGCAACGTGCAAGGTGAAATGACAATCATTACATATATAGCTTGGCATGCCATCATTTGCTTCTACCTGAAGATTGAAGACAATAATACTTGTGAATTTTGCTTGAAAATATTAGAATACCCTTAAAGTAGTTACTTCTCTCAACTGATCTTCCAGAGAGTTTTCAAAAATAAATCTAAGTTCATCAAGGTTTTTTTCTGATAAACAGGTCCTGCATAGTTTGTCAATCTCAGTAATTCTAATATCCTCCATCATAATTCAATGATTATTTTTTTCCTGAGATGTTTACTTATAATCACAATCTTCCGAAAATATTTTCGAAGAAATATTGACAAGAAAAATTAACATAACCTCTAATAACATAGTATTTGTGTGTCAGATTTGGACATTGTGGACAGTAGACAATGATGACAATGTCGCCAACATTGATTTTTCGTGTTGAAACCATATAATACCACTACTGTACGCAACACTCCAAAAAAACTGTTTTCGGACGTGTTGGGTACACAATTTTTTTGGCCACCGTGTCTAATAACAAATCAATGAGACACATTCCTTCATGATATTTTTTTGTAGAACAAAATTTCAAACATTTTAATTCTTATTTGTATCAAATACTAGCAAACCGCCCCGGCTTCGCATGGCTGCAATTTTGATACTACATATACATGTAAACTGGCTAAGCGCAGCCCTTGACGCGCTATTTATAGGTAGGCAACGTCGCCTCCCTGCCAGTACCGCTACGTCCCTGCATTTTAAATCTGTAATATCTTCGAAAATATTCGTTTAAATTACATGCTGTGGAGGGCCATATTGATCTATAGTGAATGCACAATATTGAAGGTGCTCAATTGGATAAGGATTAATGCTGTATTGCTCAAAATTGCTTCGTAAAAAAGCGAAGGATAAAAAATGGTTACTGTGGGTTATCCCTAGGAGATAGACATATACCACTGCGGACTTTTTTGTAGACCTTTTTATGGTAATGCTATTAATGATCAACTGCATTTATCAAAACCGTACCTACCAAGATTTTCATATTTTCAATGACAATAACGATATGATCCTTCCCGGCTTAGTCCGGGAAGAACGTATTTTCGGGACTAGGCCGAGAAAATGCTACATACTTTCTCAAAGAAAACGGTTGCCGAAAAAATATTTTGTCAAAAACATTCAACCTACGGCATCTTCGAAGGAATAATGAAGAGATCCAATTAATTTCAGCATTTCATTCACCGAGTTGCTGTGCACAACTCAAGTGAAGCAGTTCGACAATGTCGTATTTGTATTTGTATTGGGTGTAAGATATTTTACATCATGGTTCATAAATTGAAGATCTCAATAAAATACGCCCGACAAATTTCGATTCTTGCAGTATTTATTAGTCCTAGGTGAATCATCAAGATAAATAAACCTCTGAAGAAGCCAGTCGCTCGTGCTGACGAAACGTAAGGATGCAGTTCCAAACTACGACGGCCTTCAAATCCGAATGAAGATAGTAACATTGAATCAATTTCATACTCAATTTTTAAATTTTTGACTTTTGCCTCGCTTTGTCACGTGATTTCCTCTTCTGTTCATGCACCGGGTGATTGAAATTTTTCCCTTTCAAGAATTTTCCTGAGATGTTGAAAATATTTTCCTTTTATTGTTTTCTCACCTTTGGTTGGACATTAAACATCACTGAATAGATAATAACAACAAATTAGAACAATCAAAAAATATATTTTGTGAAATATGTTTTCTGGAAATTTGTTCAGGCACTCAAGGAAAAAAACAAAAGCAGAATTCTCAAGACTTATTTATTTAATTCAAAAACCTTATAGATTACTGGTTTTATAATGATAAAAAGAAATAAAAATAAATAACTTGAAGAAGAATCTACTAAACTACGTTATTGTACAAAATATGACTAGATATCAAACAATCAACCAAACGAGACGTAGATTACCCGTATAATATATAAATGTAAATGTTTCATATCATCAATGAATATATCACAGTCTCACATTTTCAACATAATGAAATAGGAATAATATGTCCTTCATTTCCAATTCATTTCAGGATATTTGAAAAGAGAGCTTTTATTTTATTTTGCAACTCGAATTCAACATTCCTATTAAATGAAATTATAATAAGGATGATAATAACAATGATGTTGACACGCGTTCAGGCAATGAACTGCTAGTCCCCCTAATTTCAGCTCTAGAAGTTTCAATTTACATGAAAGTAATTAATTGTTACGAAGATCATCTCACAAACGGACGACCTGGGGAAAGGATGGGATTGAAATTTGGAAGAGAAGTAATTAATGCGTTCAAATCAACAAACCAGTTACATTTTTTATGCCCTAGTTGCTCGTCTAGAGAGAATTTCCTTTTTTTTCTAATGGAAAACGGTAATTTTTTGCTGGTAAAGAATGATATATCAATTATGAAAATAAATTGAAATTATAGTGTTTTTACTAGAACACGACTGAATATCTATCCTAATGTATTTACTGCAAAACTTTTTCTAATTTTGATGAAAAAATAAAAGGTCTACGAGATATATAAACCATTAAAGCATTTGTCAATTTGACGTCTTTCATAGCAAAGGTTGCAGAAAACATCTCAAGTATTTCTATCGCACCGAAGAAATGTAAAAAAGATATGCTTTTCGTTCCTGAATGGTTACAAAAAGTACGGCGTACAATAATTTCAAAGAGTGGTAGTGTTAAAACTAAAAAAAGTTCATTATGGAGAATTTGTCAAGGTTTCTAATTCACGGTTTATATCATTTACCTAATTTTACTATTTAAGAAAGTATGAGTAGTTTGCACTATGCGCTTATTTCGTGTTCTGTGGTTCATCATATGGAGGTGGTGCCCTTTGACCGCACAATAGTATGATTGCAATTGATTATCCATTGCAATATTAGTCAACGACAAAAAAATAACTATTTTTACAATGAATGAAAATGAAAACTTATTGAGAAACTGTGACATATTCAATTTGAAAAATGAAAAAATATTCGAATTTATTCAAACATAACTTGTCAAATGTAGGAAGAGCTTTCTAGTTGCAATCACAGAACACTCACATTTTTTGTAATCTGCGGTTGCAAAAATCTCTGGGATAATACGGTACTGTACTGTACGTTACTGTACTTTACTGTACTTTCCTTTACTGTATTTTAGTGTATTTTACTGTACTTTACTTCTTATCGAGAGCAATTTTCCGTCTATCCTCTTCCATCACAATGCTTCTTCACGGGGTGAGCAAGTTGTGAGAATACTCGTCTAGATTTGACAAACTATACAACTTACTTAGAATCATAACATCTCCTAGAGTACTTCCTGTACAATCGGAAAGTATACTCCTTCTCAAATTATTCACTAAAATTGTACTTGTAAGTCTTAGATAATGAATTAGACATGCATCTAAGAGAATTGAACAATACCTAAATACAAAAACCTTCTTTCCAGAATTGAAAACAAGTTTTTATTGGGTGAGAGAAAATGTGAATTATTTATGAATTTGTTACTTTATCAGAACAAGTCGAGATACCTTCATTCATGCAGCTAATCTGCTGCAACTAATGAAAGTTTGTAGAATAAAATTTAAATTAGTAGGATTTTCTGGAAAAAAGATTCTCTAATCTGATGAAGTTCTCATTTGCAATTTTTGAGTGATCATTATTTTGAATAAAAGCTTCTGGAATTGATAAAATGTATAATTGGAAACTGGAGTATGAAATTATTGGTACCACTGGTATAAGGCTAGTAAAATAACTCGAATAATAAGAACCACGCACTGTTTTTCTGCAACACAAATAGGTTATGAAAATATTCACAGAAAGGTTTCTTTCGATATATCAATAAAACATATTTCAAATTACAAATAAATTCATCAATGCTTCAATATTGTAGCACCCCAAGAACATACAAATTGTTATAGAAGTCGATAGAATAAAAACTGGATGATGAATTTACTGATAAATACAAAGCTCTAATTGGTTTTTGACCTTGCCTTGTATCGCACCAAATACAAAACCCAATGATTAAGAAGAAAAACTACTGCTAATGAAGTTGACCAGTTTCAAAATAAACATTAGTACTTTTCTATTATTCAAGAGAAATGTGGTCGTCACTCATGAAAATGAAGTTTGTCGATGTCATTTTTCTATGACTTATAACAGGAATATTTCAAAATAAAATTAATTAATGGAGGATATTCCGAATAAGAAAATGAGCTGAGTGACATGAAGCTGTTTCTAGTAACTCTCATTTTGGTGTTGAGTGACGAGTATTTGAAAAGTATCATATTTTTTGTCACGTTACAAATTTTTAGTGAGTACACTCGTTCTGACTTGCCGAACCCCTGCTTTTATTTCTGTTTTTTTATTTGAAAGAATATATTTCAAAACGAAATGTCAGTTCAATGAAGTTTAAAGTTCGTGAACGTATTTTAAAGAAATACATTCTCAAGGCTTACTTGCGATTGAAAATAATTGAAACAAAACTGTAACGTTATGAATTTGCCCTCTATAATTGGCGGCCTTGAAGGTAATGAGCTATGAATCTGGTTAATTGTGGTCCGAATGCGTTAGTCATGGATTATTTTGCTTACTCACCCAACAAAAAACATAACTAACTTTTTTTTCAATACATAGACAGAAATTCACAATCAGTTTGAACAATTTTTACTAATTTCAGATAACCATAGTATGAGTTTTTTGCAAGCAATAGTAAAATGAATATTTTCGCAGGAACAGTGCGTTGTCCGATATATTACACGATTTTGTCTGATATTTCAGTTTCTATCAAATTGGTATGATATAAAATAGCACCAATATGATGTCCTATTGTCTATGTCTTTTCAACTTTGAACTAATATCGTATACGCTAATCAACGCAATAAAACTAAGATTAGAAAAATAAAAACTAATGGAAGATCTGTAACATCTCAGAAGATGGTGGAAAACATTCTACACTCTCTGATAAGTGAGATTATTTTGGTGAGTAGTTGGAAGTGTAACTTGGTTTCAACAGTATTTTGATTTTTCAGTCATTTTCTATATCAAATAAATACTTGAGTAACGAGTTTCATTCAAATACACCGGAAATATTATAATTATTATAATTTTTTTTACATTTTTCGATAGTTGTGAATGTAACTCAGTTTATATACCTATTCAATGTCTCCCAATCACTACTCATCTGTTATAAATATTCACAAATTGCACAAATTGTGCAATCGTTGGCACAATAATTAATTCTTTGTCTATTCTCATGCGTAGATCGTTGATTTATAATAGAAAAATGATTTGAGCCAATATTAAATCCTGCAGAACACCAGCATGTATGGTGGAAGTATTCGAGAGAGAATTACAGATGGTTACTGGTGAAGAATGGT